CTGGGCTGCTTGTCTGGGTAAGGGGTGGGACTTCCACTGCAGTGGAAGCTGATGCCATCTGTGTTCTTTCTCAGATGAGTCCTTCAATCCTGTTGAAGAGGAAGAAGACGTGGCAGAGGAGTGAGTTTTTATTGGACTTCGCAGGGAGAAGATTATGGCCTATAGCTTTATTTTTCATGTCCCAATATAGTTTTGTGAAAGTGTCAGGAATTTAGTGTAGCGTGCTTTGAACCAGCGGAATGGAAAGAGTAGGAGGAGGCCTCATGCTTATGCATGCTGGGAGTCTGCACTCGCAGATGACCGTGGTTCCCTGGTGCTGCTGACCATCATCAAGACTTGTGACTCTCCCTGTTAGAGACTCACTGGCTCCACGTGGTCGGCCTCTGCTTTTAAGTTCATGTGTCTGGAGAGGGCGGGGATGGCGGTGACTACAGGCCCTGCTGGATCTGGGCTCAGCAGGTGGGGGAAACTGCTTTGCTTCTGCGTTCATTCTTAGCGTAGTCCATGCCCCTCAGAAGGTCTAGGCAGGCTTAGTGGATAGTTTAACATAGAGAAGCACCTTGGTGAACACCAGAGTGGACAACGTGGTCTCTGGTAAGCTGCCCCTTCCTGAAGCATCCTCAGACCCTGAAGTTGGCAGGAGGCTCGTCCCTGCAGAAAAGTGGGACTGTTGATCCAGAAAGATTGGGCATCAGAATCAAAACTATAATTGTGAATTCCTCAGAAGTTCACAAATTTTGCTCACAGAGGTTAACGCACAGATGCTTATGAAGTGCCTTGAGACCCTTTCAGCAGAGGGCCGGTGTCAGCAGCTGTGTGGAGAGGAGATATGGTCTGCTCTATTGGACAGAATAGTTAGGCACAGGGACTGGCTTCCTCACATTAGGGCTGTCTGTCAGGAAAGGTTGTAGTGTAAACGAAGGTGATTTGACCAGATGGAGCGATGGCTTAGATTTGGTGTGCTGCAGGCTAGCAAGAGACAGTGTTGTGTACTGGAGGGCGGAAGTGGAGGAGAACCCGGATTGGAACAGAAGAGCCCACTGAAACATTTGTTCTTCATTGATTGAGTCAACAAATAACTTGTGGCTGCTCTCTGAGAAGGGATGTTGAAGCCATCTTAGTGAAGGGCCGGACCTCAGTGGAGGAGGCTGTCCTTGGGACTCCCTTTCTTGGCCCTTTGTGGGCAGCTGTGAAGATTCCTGTTCCTTCTACCTCTATCCTGCCTTCCTTTCTTGAGTCTCAGCCTCGCTCCGGCAGGTTTGACACCAACGCTTCTGCCAGCTCCTCTAGTAATGAGGGTGACAGTGACCGGGAAGAGAAGAAGCGGAAACAGCTCAAAAGGGCCAAGATGGCCAAGGATCGCAAAAGCCGCAAGAAATCTTCAGAGGTACAGAGTCTTCTCGATTGGAGAGTGTGAGCGTGTGTGTCTCCGTTTTCTGTTCCTTTCTCCTGTTTGCTACAGTAGACAGTATTGATTGTGCTGCTTTTTGTAGGCTGGTTATCACTTTGGTAGGCATTTTCTAATTTTTTTTGTTTTGCATTTAGTTTGTCTGATTTTAATATTTTGACAACTTTATACATATATTTAGTGTACTGTGATTTTATTCATACCCTCTTTGTCTTTGTCCCTTTCCTCTTACTTTGTTTTGTACCCTCTGAGTTTAGTAGGATTGCTTGTATAGCATGGCTAAGAGGGTTATTTGCTGGAGCAGAAGAACTTATCAGTGGCTGCACCACTGAAGAAAATGGCTCATCTCCTAGCAACCATTAACTGCATGTAGCTCCTCTGGAGGGGTGAGCCCTCATGTGTGCCTGTCCCATCTGTGATGCAGTGTCAGGGCCCGATCTTGTACAGGCCTTGGGCAAGTGTCCTAGCTGTGTTCACAGTCCCAGCAGCCGTGACGTGTCTGGTGCCACTGTTTCACCGCACACCTCCCTTTCCTCGGGCTCTTTCATTCTTCCTGCTCCCTTCTTCAGCCGCTTTTCCTTGGCCGTGGTGACATAGATATCCCGACAGCTGAGGACTGAGCCCTCACTTGTCGATTATCCTCGACAAGTGGGCAGGGTTAGGGATGTAAGTCTCTAAATGTGAATTAGGAGACATCCTGCCTCTGCTCCAGATCTTCTTGAGGAGGGAAAGTTGCGGCTCCTGCCCTGAGGGCTGTTACTGTATAGCCCAACACTATTTAGCAACTCCTGCATCTCTTCCCATCCTAGGTAATTTCTTTGGGGAAACTTGGGATAGTTATGGGATGTGGATTTCTGGTGGCATTTGGGTTCTTTCTCTTGTAGGTGAAGAAGGGTAAAGATCCGAATGCCCCAAAGAGGCCTATGTCTGCATATATGTTGTGGCTTAATGCCAGCCGAGAGAAGATCAAGTCAGACCACCCTGGCATCAGCATCACAGATCTTTCCAAGAAGGCAGGCGAAATCTGGAAGGGCATGTCCAAAGAGAAGAAAGAGGCAAGTAGCAGTGGGAAGGAGGGTGGTGAGAAGGGCTTTGTAGGGTGCAGGGTGTGCTGCTCCTAGAACAGCTGAAGCTGTAGATCTGCTTGCCTCAGCCTAAAGGACTATTCGTGTTTGTGACAGGAGTGGGACCGCAAGGCTGAGGATGCTAGGAGGGAATATGAAAAAGCCATGAAAGAGTATGAAGGAGGAAGAGGTGAATCTTCTAAAAGGTGAGCGTTGGGAACAGAATGGCCAATGACTGCTTTTGTAACAGTTTTTTTTCCAGGTCAGAATTGGGAATTGTACATGTTTTTGACAGCAGTTTGAGTAGTGCTTCGTAAACCCCAAATGACATGCCATGTATGGGCAATGTTTGGGGTATTCAGGTTGGGGGATAAATTTGTCCCATTTTCCTACATCACTTTTATTTGAAGTAATGGGAGAGTTTAGAAAAAGTATTTGTGAAACCTAATAGTTCACATTAGCTTTTAAATAAAACAGAAATGTCAGGTTAATTTTGCATCTGAGTTGCCTCAGGCTATGACCCTGGTTCTCTTGGGGTACTTTTGCATGATCCTCTCCTTTGGTGCACTTTGGGCTGACAGCTGATGTTTCATTTGCCACATTGAGAATAGTGTGGCCAGTACTGGGAAAATCCTCAGTAAAGCCAGAAGAAATGTGGCCTGTGTAATGATATGGGGAACCTAATGGCCTGGCTCCTTTTCCATGTTCCTAATCTAGGGACAAGTCCAAGAAGAAAAAGAAGGTCAAAGCAAAGATGGAAAAAAAATCCACTGCCTCCAGGGGCTCATCGTCCAAATCTTCATCAAGGCAGCTAAGCGAGAGCTTTAAGAGCAAAGAGTTCGTGTCCAGTGATGAGAGTTCTTCTGGAGAGAACAAGAGCAAAAAGAAGAGGAGGCGGAGTGAGGTACGGCAGTAGTGTAGGAGTTGAGGGCCATGTGTGTTAGGAGTGGGTAAGGCCCAGTATGGTTATTAATCTATAGTAATGAGTTAGAGTGGACAGGTGACTTCTGAGGTTTTGATGAGTGCAGGAGTTAAAGGAGGAAGTAGGCATTAGGAAGCCTTCACCAAAGTGCTGGGAAGGTAGCTGGGACAGCTTTACCTATGAGAACTTTGGTTTTCAGGACTCTGAAGAAGAGGAACTAGCCAGTACTCCTCCCAGCTCCGAGGACTCTGCCTCAGGCTCTGATGAGTAGAGGAGGAAGATTCGTGCCCATGCCCTGCCGCATCTCTAGGCTCCCTGCTCCTCTGGTAGCAGCCTCTCACACAGTCCTTGGATTCTGTGCATCTGAGTAACTGCTCCTGGTGGCTCCCATTCTGAGGCATGGAGGAGGCTCGCATCTCTGCTGCTTTGCCAGGATGGCTCCTTGTAGTCTGGAGAGAGACTGGGTAGGAGTGTTCTTACCCGCGCACAGTGCGCTGGCAGATCCAAGTCCTTGTCCTTTCCTGACTGTAGGGCTAAAGCTGCTTCCTGACCTGTTCAAGTGGCTGCAGCAGGGGTCTTGTGAAGTCAGGCCTGCAGCTCCTCATAGGGGCCTATTTCTACTTTTATTTTGTATTTCTGGTCTGTGAAATCACTTTAATAAAGGGAACTGACTTTGGAAACAGTGTCCTTATGTCTCCTTTTCCACTTTGCATGTGGTGTTTACCTTTCCTGACTGGGCAGGGCCTTCTGCCCAGCTGGGAAGCAAGTCTCCAAGTACATCCTGTCCTTCCCAACTGCACAAGCCTTGGTTTTCATCCGTGTCTGTACAACTTTCCATCTGAGAGTGAAGAAATGAGTGCTGATCTGATTGATTAGAAAGCCTCTCATAGTTCCACTCCATTAGCGGGGTTGGGGCTGGGGTATTTAAGAACTCCTTTCTTAAATACCTTAGGAGTTGGGTCTTACAAGGCTTGAGATAACAGAATGAGGACCGACTTTCTTGTGTAGGGAGCAGAAACCTGAGTCAGGATTGCGGAGGGTGAGTTGTGTGTGTGTGAAGTGTGAGAAGATTCTGAGAAGGGCAAACTACAAAATTTTGTATTTTGGAACTGTATCTAAAAGACCTCAAAGGAGACATAACACGAGGGGAAAAAGCTACCCCACTTTTCACAGTGGCTCGAAATCTGAATTTATCCACGAGGGGTGGCCACGTCGCTTGTGCTCTCAGGAGGACTCAGGTGTAACAGGAAGCCTTTTCAGTCCGCCAACGGTTCCCTTCGTGCTGCCCGCGCTCTATGGTGCTGTAATCAGTGTAGGCATAGGGAAAGCTGTCCAGGGCGGTTTCCTCTCTAGGCAGTCATCTCGGTGGCACTGGGGTAAAATTGCGTCAGTTTCGCCTCAGTCTGAATCGGGACTGGCCCCTCATTTACAAGGTCATGAATAATTATGTAGGATCTGTGCTTGTTTGCATACGGTGAGCCGGACCCTGCTTCAGCTTCGTCTTCCCATTCCCGGTTTCCTACATGAATATTCATGACCGTATGGAGGCGTGGCCATGGGCGGGGCTAGGGAGGGGCCCCGGGGCTTGCACTGGCTCGGTCCCGCGGTGGCGGTGACCGTGGCGGCGGCGGCGGCAGCAGCGGTCACTGGTGTCGTGGTGCCTAGCTGAACGGAGCCCGACCCGGGGGAGCGCGTGAGTGCGCGGCGGCCGGAGGGGCGGGGTCTGGGGATGAGGGCAGGGAAGGCACGGAAAGAACCCGGCGCCTAGCAGCTGGGACCTCAGGTTGGGGCGGCGGCAGGCGGGGGGGTCATCAGGAAAGTTTGCGAGGGCCTGGGGCGCTGGGGTGCTCGGGCGCTGCGGAGCTGGCGCGTGTGTGCGGGGGTGGAGGGCGCCGGTGCCCGGAGCCAGAAGAAAGGGGGAGAGGCGAGCGTGGGGCGGGGCCGGAGGCGGGCGGAGCTGCTCCAGGGACCCCCTCCTGCCTCTGCCCTCCCTGGCCCCCTTCCCTGGGTCCCACGGCACGCCCCCAACCACCCCAAGCCGCCCCCACCGCGTCCGCGTCGCCAATCCTCGGTCTGGTCTGTTCTTTCGCGGGCTGCTTGGCATCTCGCGCAGTCCTGGCTGCTGCCGCCCCCTCCTCCTCCACCCTCGCTTGCTCCTCCTCTTCGCTGCCCGCTCGGTGTCCGTAAGCTCCCCACGGAGGCCCTCCAAACAGCCCCTTGCCCCGGGCTGTTCCGTGCTCCTATTGCCCCTCTTCCCTCCGCCCCCAACATTTACCTCTCCTGGCTGCACTAGCCGCACATCCAGCGGAGACCTTCGGGGACGACCCTACCTGCCCTCAGACCCCTCTGGGCGCCTGCCCAGGGCTGGGGCTACCGAGATCCTTCCCACCCTTTGGGGCAGCCTCGACTCCCAGGGCTGCCTGGCTTCCCTAGACCGCCGAGGGTGGGAGTTCTTGAGGCACTGCCATTCTGCAGCTTTATGGCCATGGCCTTGCTTACCTGGGGCTCCTGGCTGGGGCCTGTCTACTGTAGCCACCTCCCCTGTTGGGGACTGGGAGCCTGTTTTCGTCTCTGCAGCCCCTTATAACCACAGAGATGTCCGTCAAGCCCCCAGGTGAGAGGCTTGTCTGTTCTGGACTAGTTTTTCTCCATTGTGAACCACCCACACCAGAGCCCTTGTAATAACGCTCAAGGACAAGGAAACAATCTTGTGTATTTTAATTTTATTTTTTCTGTCATCCTTCCACCCTCACGCGTTATTCTCCCACGCACGAGGGACACAGCCCGAGGTAGTTGGCTGATCAGCTGACTGGCGTTGACGGAGTTACCGTCCATGTCCTCTTCAAAATAAGCTGGGACAGGGTCAAGGGGATGGGGATAGCTTTTGCAAAGACTGGGCACCACAGGGTTTTAGAACTGAGAACTGTCTCCGACCAGCTGGAGTGGGAGGGGAACTTTGAGGTTACAACCCCGCGAGGGTTGGAGAGGGCTGGGTTGCCCTCCAGGGCTGTGTGCATTCCATGCGTTTGGCATCTTCTCCCTTGCGTTTGACCTGGAGGGGCAGTGCTCTCTAGTCACCAGGCTGCAGAGCCTGAGGGGGTCTCGTGGGTGGGAAGGTGCTTCAGCAGTCAGGGTGGGAACTGAGGGGGTGGAGGGCCTGAAGAACCCGTGGCTTGAGGTGGGGGACGTGAAGAAGAAGAAGTCCAGGAATGCAGCCCAAGATAGGGGGAGAGGTATAGGTGGTTCCAAGGATGTTAGGTAGCTCGTTGGTGACGCCGGAATAGTCCCATTATAATGGCCAACTGTTACTTACCACTTCCGTGCTTGGTGTCTTGCATGCATTGTCTGGCTTGGAACTCAAGTCTTAATACCCTGTTTTTCAAATAGGGCAACAGCTTTAGAGAAGTTGCACAGCTCCGAAGTGGTAGACCCAGTTAGCTGCTAAATTTTACAGCACCAGGTCCAGAAGCCCCCGTCACAGGCTGCTACCGTGAGGCTATCATCTGCTTTAATTTCTCCTGGCCCCTCAGAACTCCTTCAGGCGGTGTCCAGGCTGGCAATGCACACACATTCCCATGTCACAGGCTATGCAGCTTCCTCCCTGATTGCCCTGGAAGGGGGGACCCCGGGGAGTTCTCCCCCAAGTTATACCCCTAACCCCATATAACCCAGCCCAGTCCGTTCTCCCTGCCCATCCTGGGCCGGCTCCTCCTCCCCCTTGGCTAGGCCCTGGAAATCCAGTGGGAGGCCATTGCTATGGTAACAGGACTAGGCCATGGCTTTACCTCATCAAATTCCAAGCTGAAGCCAAAACGATTGAGAAATTAAAGGAAAAAATGTATTCCAGATGTTTACTTTTTATTTCTTATTTCCTTGTGTTTGGATGAGACAGCGTCGAGGGAGGGAGGAGGGGGGAAGGGATGTGGAAGGAGAATGGGGAGAGGGGGGTAGGGAGCCACTCCCAGCCATAGAGGGAGGGAGGAGAATGGGAAGAGGGGGGCCGGCTGTGGGGCGGAGCCCCAGGTTGGGGAGGAGCGGGTTTTTCCCGTCTCCCATGAGGTGATTCCCGAGACTTGAGACTTTCCGGCCTTCTTGCCCTGCTCAGAGTGGATACCTCTGGTGGGCCTGCCTGACCCAAGAGGAGTGCCTCCGGAACTGTAAGCAGGGTACCACAGGAAGGAGCTTGAGGTGGTTTGGGGGGAGCTGGCTCCCTGATGCTCCAGATCCTTGAGCCAAGAGTTGAGGATGTGGCGGTGGGGACCTCTCCGACCTCCTCCTGCAGTTCTCTCTTCCTGTCCCACACAGCCTGGGTGGGAAATAGGCTTCCCTGGCTAAGCTTGCTGCCTCGCCCAGCTCTTCCTTCCCTGCCTCCTTCTTTCCTGGGTCTTCAGCCACCCCTGTTGACAGTACTCCCCATTTCTCAAGCAGGGTCTGCCGCATGTGATGAAAGTGTTCACTCTCCGGGAAAGCACAGCCATGGCTTCCCCACTGCCCCAGGAGGTGGAGGAGGAGCTGGCGCCTGTTGGCTCTGAGCCAGGTACCAATGGGTGATGGGTGTAGGGTGGGGCCGGTGCCCAGGGAAGAGGGTGGGGAGGGTAGAGGCTGCACCTCTATTCTGTCCTGGCAGGTAGTTGAATGACAGTTGTGTTGAGGTGAGAGGGAGCCAGTATGAAATGCGTGCTGAAGGGCCTTGGCACCTGGTAAGAGTGACATATAGCTCTAGCAGGTATGGAAGCAGAATCTTTGAGACAGGTCCAGTGAGTCTTTGAAAAGGAGACACTGAGGCACAGAAGGAGAAATGGAATGCATTTCCTTCTCCCTGTCTAGACTTTTTAAGTGCTCAGCTGAATGAGTGGGTGATACAAGATTCTATTATAGAAGGGTTGTGGCCGTGAGTAATTTCCAAGGTCTTTTTTTTTTTTTTTTTTTTTTTTTGGCATTAGAATGCCTTATACAGAAGGTAGATTTCTGGCCTTGGTTCTTCCTTTCGTCCTTTCCTTCTTTCCTTCTTTCCTTCTTTCCTTCCTTCCTTCCTTCCTTCCTTCCTTCCTTCCTTCCTTCCTTCCT